GCCAAAGCCCCGCGATGGCTTGGCCTCGGCACCTACAGAGCAGTAGCCCCCACGACGTCATCACGCGATGACCAGACGTCCCCCTGATGGGCGGGGGTTACCCGTCACTATGCTATCCACTGCGGCACATGGTTGACACCCATGCCTCATCAGGCCGCCAACTCCCGCTCCAAGGACAACGCGAGCATGGGGAGCCACGTCTGGCCATCTGTGGCCTCGGAATCAGCACCAGGGCCAATAATAACTCCCCAAGGCCTCGACAGTTTGCTTCACGGGCTCGGCACACTGAGGGTCCATGACCACCGAGCCCCCACGATGGCTCGGCCTCAGCATCGCAGAGCAGCTGCTCCCTATGACGCGTCATTACACGGCGACCAAAGACGTCGCCCGCCATGTCTCCGTGCATCAAGCCGCATCTGGAGCCCCCCACGACGCACAAGACCGAAAGTATGACCAAAGCATGTCACTTCCGCACGACAAGGACGGGGCCACTCCATCGACCATACCACAACAAAGTGGCCGACTACGAGTGGCTCGGACACGCCACCCATTTTCTGTAAGCGCTATGTAGCACCCTATGCACGGTCCGGTCCTCCCTTAGAGTATAAAAGGGAGGGATCTGGGGCCATTCGGGGAGGCAGAAAAAGACGAACACGCCGATAGAACCACGCACTCCTACGTTGCTTGGGAACAACGCCTCAAGCAGCCCGCACCACACTCGCCGAGAGACTCGGGGCTAGTTCCTCTCTCACCTAGCTTGTAACCCCTACTACGAGCACTCCGGTGCAAGGAATACAAGATCGATCTCTCGGATGGACGTAGGGCCTCGATTGCTCGAACCAAGATAAACCTTGTGTCTCTTTGCGCCACCATCCGGGATTAGGGGCACGCAGCACAAATTCACTCGTTGGTTGAGGGACCCCCGGTTCCAAAACACCGACAAGTGGCATGCACCTAAACAGCCATGACAGATACCGTTGTCCATTACAATAAGAACGTAAATATAGATAGCAAAACCAAAATAATTAGATAATAGTATTTTGATAATCTCCGGTCGTGGCTGAAGTTTCCGACCTACGAGAAAACATTCCAAACATCCTCCAGATAGAAGCCATCAACACTTTCATGTCCCGACTCCACGATCATCAACACTGTAAAATAAGATGAGCTAGTAAATAAACAACTTTGTTGCAAGAAAAAGAGATGGAGAGTACACTAATGAACTATTGTAACATAGTCATATGAAAGTATTCATGTAACGAAGCTAGTATATAATATATAAATTAATATTTCTACCTAATTAGTTCGATGCCCAAACTTACGCCAAATGTGATCAATCAAATCGGATTGTAGTTGCTTGTGAGTTTCACGATCACGAATCTCGACATCTCTCTGCGGTACCTCCTTCATCACCGGATCATGTCCTTGAGTGATTGTAGATGGTGAACAAGTGAGCGTGGTTGCTTCCTCATTCAAGTCGAGCTAATCGTCTTCTATATCCTTCTCATCCTCGATTATCATGTTGTGAAGTATTATACAAGCTAACATGATATTCTCAAGATCCCTTGTTCATATATACGCGTGCGGCCGACGCAAAATGGAAAAGCGAGATTGTAAGATCCCAAATGCACATTCAACATCTTTTCTTTCCCCTCTTGATGTTCGAAAAGCGACTTACGCTTTCGGTGATTGTGGTGCACGTATGGACTTGACAAAAACAGCCCACTGGGTATATTCCATCTGCAAGATAATAAGCTTTGGTATATTGCCTTCCATTCACAAAGCATCGCACTGGGAGCTTCTCCTCTTAAGCGATCGACGAACAAAGTAGATTGACTCAAAGACATTGATGTCATTGTTGGATCCGGCCACTCCAAAGAACGCATGCCATATCCATCGGTCATGTGAAGCAACAGCCTCTAGAATGATGGTTGGTACACCATGATCACCACGAGTATATTGTCCCTTCCATGCATAGGGGCATTTTTCCCAATGCCAATGCATACAGTCAATGCTCCCTAACATGCCAGGAAAACCACGACGCTCACCAATCTCCAACAATCGTTCCACATCTTGCCTTTGTTAGGCCTCAAGTACTCTTCGTCAGATACTTCAATGACACCTTGAACAAACTTTTTCAAGCACTCCACACCAATACTTTCTCCCATCTTCAAATACTCATCATCTTTGGTCTGCAGAGCCGCCATATGCTAATTGACGGATTACTCTGTGCACTTATGAATTGGTGAGAACCCGGGGACGATTTGAGCATCCGGCCTCAAGGTGAAATACTCGGACCACCCACTCAAGGCCTCAACAATCTTTAAAAGAGGGGTCTCCTCATCCTAAATCTTCTCTAAACTCTGTGTCTCATTGTAGACCTGGATTAGAGAGAAGTAGTCATCCATTAGTTCTTTGGTGGCTTATTCACGAGGCCTGTTCACATATCGCCTAGGACCACTCCGAAGTTCTTCCACCTTGTATGACATCAACAACCGATCGCATTTCAAAGCAACTAGATGATCGCCTAAATCATCTAGAATTTCTTGCTCTTGAAGATAGTCATCCATGGAGTATAAATCAGCCAGGTCGATGCTGCCATCTCCATCCATGGATTACAGAAAGGGCAGCAGTATAGCAGAAAGAGAATAGCAGATAAGAAAGGGCAACAGTATAATAGAAAGGTGTCATGGCTGTGCTGTATATATGCACATTTGTCGTGCCTATACATATTCACACTTCAATGCAAAAAAGTAGTGGATGGAGTTCACACTTGCATGCTACAAATAGTGGAGATAGTTCACACTTGCATGGTAAAAATAGTGGAGACAGTTCACACTTGCATGCTAAAAATAGTGGAGAAAGTTCACAGGAATTAAAAGGATTTAAGTTACCTTAAAGGAACTACTTCCATGGTCACATTTGTTTGCACACAGTTGCTACTGCATAATCAATTCCAGGAAATTACAAGTCCATCAGCTATCATTTCTAGGCAATTAAATAAGCAATTAAAAAAGGGTCGACTGCGTCATACCTTCGGAAATAAAGCAAGTCTCGTGCTCTCCAAAGTGCCAAGTTTCTCTCAGCCAAAGCATCGCACTAAAGTTGAGCAAGAGGGCTAAAACAAACAACGGTGTGTGTAAGTTTCTAACATTTTGCACTTAGTTTGTTCATGAGTCGCTTCATGATTAAGCCTAGCTGCTTCAATCTTCTTATCACCAAGCTTTTTTGAATTTCACCATCTTCTCTGTCCTCTCTATTCTTGCTGCTTGCTTCAATGAACTTCTCAAATTTTCCACTAAAAACAACCAAAGCATCAGATGACTTCTTTTTGCCATTGAGTTCTTTTTTTGCTTTCTTATGTCCCATAGGTCGCTTTTCTCCATCTAATTCCAAATTCACCAATGGAGCTGGATTAGCCTTTGCACCCTTTTCCTTTTCCTTCTTTAACCTAGCAAGATATATTTGACCATACGCTCACCACGTACTACCTTCCACATATATCGTGAGATGGAAGGCCTTACCATTATTTTTTTTGGCCCACATCTCTAATGCTTTGTCAAGAATCTGGTCATCACTCATCCCACTTTGCCACACTCTATTGGCATTTACCCAACATCCATGAAAATCAGTTAATGGTTTATTAGAACGATCCCAACGTATTTTTAGTTGGTTTCGGTTCCTCTTACGACTACTTTCTGTGTCCTTGTTGTATTCTTTAGTAACATCTACCCAATAAGCATCCCCCCTCTTGTCATTTCCATCTATTGGGTCCTTTGAATTACGCAACCAAGCATTGGCCTACAGGAACAACAAAAAAATAGAATGAAAAAAGACAATCGTTATTCTTCAAGTGTGCATGGAGATAGCAAGGTTTCAACCTACCAGTCGTTTGTCTTCAGGGACCGACCAATTCAAACGCTTGTCGGTTCTAGAATCCTCATCGACGTTAATTGTTTCATCTTCTTCTGCACCGAGTTCAACCACTATATCATCATTTTGCTGTGCTGGAGAGGGAGTTCTTGTAGCACCCAGGTCAATTGGTGAAACTGAAGATTGACTCATTCCACCACCAACATAGTGAAAATTTTCATTTCCACTAGGATGGTTAGCAAATGGGTTTGGCTCCAGAAGATCTGAGAACCCTCCTGGTGGGTATAACCTGCAACCATATGAATTTCCATGCTCCAATTAGTAAATCAAAAGAAAAAGGATAAATCTCGAATACATAATGATACCATTACTTAAATATCGGAGCTGTCAGTGATTCTAGTGACTATGCAATAAGATAAATGGTCCGTTGCAACCTGTAGGTACATTTGCTAGTACACGTTAAAGGCACCATTCAACTAAAGAATCTGTAATCGCAAATATCATCTGACAGTCATGGCATAGCCAAACTAACCATATAGAATCTGTAATCGCAAATATCATCTGACAGACATTAAAGTACACATTAAAGGCACCATTCAACTAAAGAAATCCATCTGAGCAAGTATGGCCATATGTAACCCATGGATTCAAAACTAGAATCTGTAATCGCAGATATCATCTGACAGTCATGGCATAGCCAAACTAACCATATAGTTATTAGTCATATTTCTTGTGGTAAGTGAAATGTGGTCCTTTGTTCTGTGATGTGACGGGTGGCAAGTTCTCCTAGCTGGTTGTATGTTGCTTGCATTAGTGTAATCGCCGTAGGCTGTTTGGTTTCTGTAGCTAAGAAGTGATCGGTCCAGCAATGGAAATATAAACTAATGATCTTAGACATTCATAACCCAGTTTATTACACGGTCTGCGCACGATCATTAACAAGAACAATGGTGAAATCTATAAAACTCATCGATTTCGAGTAAGAATCGAGGATCGAGTTAATGTACATCCAATCCCGCCCAAGAATCCTTGATCAAGACTTACCTTCACTAGGAGATGACATTGGCCACCATCCACCAACGGGGAAGCACTAGTTCGAGGAACACCAAAGATCTTGAGGAACACCGATGGCTCGAACTGAGCTCGGTTGTTGCAGCCGACTCCCGACGGCCGAGTACATGTGTCCCAAAGAAGACGCAGACAGATGGAGGTGGGTTCTAGGGACACCTCTGCCGCCGAGAATCGGTCTTTGTTAATCTATTCATTTGTGAGATTTGGGGATGCTCTTGGGTCATAGTGGATGGGCGAGGAGACGGAATCAAGGAGCTATGGATGGACATGGATATGAATCTGAATGGGCGGAGAGGAGGAAGATTAGGGTGGGGGGCAGGTCGGAAAATTTGGCGGCGACGGTATGGTCACCTCTACTCTGCCTTGTGGGAGAAGGCCTCGAGCGGGAGAGATTTATGAGCGGGCAAGATGGATGGCGCATGGAGAAGAAGGCCTGTGCCATGAAGAAGGCCTGGAGCCTTGGGAGAAGTCAAGGCAAGCGGGATGGTGCTGTGAGGAGAAACTGCTGCTGCAGCGTGGAAGAGGAAGGAATGGCATGGCGGCGGTGGGTGTGGATGGCATGGGTGTACAGGATCTATCGACTCGACGCTGGCCTCCCCCATCGCGAGTCTAGTGGTTTCCTGCGGTCTCGATAGGAACGGAGACTCGACGTCAAATAGGAAACGATTTTTTGATTTTTCACCATCTCTCTTCAATAAATATGATGCCACATCAGCAAAATACAATAAATTGAAGGATAATAAATGCGTATGGACTCTATGTAGAGTCTGTATTGTATTGTGAGTGCCCTAGGAACGCCACGCCGAAAACAAAAATCACGGGACTTCCCGACACGTACGGAGGCGGAGGAGGCGCTGCTACTCTGCCGCGGTCGGCGGAGGAGGCGAGTAGGCGGTGATTTATTTCGCGGGCCTCGACCTGAACCACGGCGACATCGCGGGGTACCTCCCGCCGGAGCTCGGCCTCCTCGCCGACCTCTCGCTGCTCCACCTCAACTTTAACCGCTTCTGCGGCCTCGTCCCGGCCACGCTCCGCCGCCTCCGCCTCCTCGTCGAACTCGACCTCAGCAACAACCGCCTCGTCGGCGCCTTCCCGGCCGTCGTGCTCGACCTCCGCTTCAACGACTTCGAGGGCGCCATCCCGCCGGCGCTCTTCGACCGCCCGCTCGACGCCATCTTCCTCAACCACAACCGCCTCCGGTCCCCGCTGCCCGACAACTTCGGCAACTCGCCGGCGTCCGTCATCGTGCTCGCCGACAACAGCTTCGGCGGGTGCCTCCCGGCCAGCCTCGGCAACATGTCCGGCACGCTCAACGAGATCCTCTTCATCAACAACGGCCTCGACTCCTGCGTCCCGCCGGAGGTCGGCCTGCTCCGGGAGGTGACCGTCTTCGACGTCAGCTTCAACGCGCTCGTCGGCCCGCTGCCGCAGCAGGTGGCCGGGATGCGCAAGGTGGAGCAGCTGGACGTCGCGCACAACCGCCTGTCGGGCGCCGTCCCGGAGGCCATCTGCGCGCTCCCGCGGCTCAAGAACCTCACCATCTCCTACAACTTCTTCACCGGCGAGCCGCCGTCCTGCGCGCGCGTCGTGCCTTCGGATGGAGACAGGAGGAACTGCCTGCCCAGCCGCCCCGCGCAGCGCACGCCGCAGCAGTGCGCCGCGTTCTATTCGCAGCCGCCCGTCGACTGCGCCGCGTTCCAGTGCAAGCCGTTCGTCCCTGTTCCGCCGCCGCCGCCGCCACCATCATATCCCGGCCCGTTGCCGCCAGTATACCCCATGCCATACGCGTCGCCGCCGCCACCTGCGCATTACCGATGATCTGATTCGTTGAAGGGGGAGAAGCACTATCCCTTTCATTCACCTTGATTCGCCAGAGATCTCGATTTGCCACCGCCGCTGCGCTGGATGGAGACAGCAAAGTTCACCGTGTCACAATTGTACGTGGTCAGTCAGTCATTGTTGTGCTTAGATTAACAGTGTTCTTGATTGATAGCTACCGGCATATAGAAGATTATTATTATTATTATTATAAGGTGCATAAATCGCTCTTGAATTACTTTTGCATTGGTCGGTCTCTGTTTTTCGCGTCGATCGGGGTTTGCGTCATGGCGATGGTGAAAAGGATTGGAGGTGGGGGAACAGTTTGAGCTTGGATTAATTGCTAATTGGGTTGTGAATAACAAACTGCTTGAGAGAGACAGGTTATTACGAGGATGAGGATGGGACTGGGATGTATAGAGGGAATTGAGCTTGAGTTCTTCAGTTAAGCTGCTGCTTTCAGATGAGAGTCCAGAGATAAGTTTTCAGACCAAGGAATGTACCCTACTTAACTATTCTTTTTTTTTCTGTCACAGCTACTTACTGCTAATCGATTGTTATGATATATCTGTTTCGGATTCTTCAAAGGTTTTGGCCCTTTGATTGCTACTCTGTTGTCTGTTCTTCTCTGTTTTTGATGCGATGACGGTAATACACGGGTTGGTCATTCTTTGCACGTGGATTCTGTTTTCGTTATTTATCTTATTGGTTGCAACTAGAATTTTCCCATTGCACCATGGAATTAGATGCTTCACATGATGTGTTGAGCTTGAGCATGCATGATGAAACACCAGTGGCCCAGATTTTGCAAAGCTTGTTTTGTCTTTGTGTCGGTGTTTCGAACAAACACCGGCGAGTAAATTTGTAATTGATGCGCGTTAGGCCCGGATGGTGCGCTAAAAGACACAAGGGCTATACTGGTTCGGGCTGAATGTCCCTACGTCCAGTCATATGCTGCTCGTGTTATTAGCACCGAATGAGGTTCGTAGTAGGGGGTACAAACGGTTGGGAGAGGGAGAGACTCCAAGTCCGTGATGGAGTGATTGGAAGGACGCCAAGAGCTTTGTTGGCGCTATCGTGGTGGTGTGTGTGTAAAAAGCGCTAACCTGCTCGTAATCGGTTGATCGATCCCTTAGTGGGGAGCCCCGCCTCCCCTTTTATAGATCAAAGGGGGAGCGGGGTTTTTCTGACGGGAAGAAGAAAACACTAAGAGCATAGAAGGTCCTTCGAGGAACCCGGTCCTTCCTTCTTCTCACGCCCGATCCGCCCATCATGGCGATCGTGTCGAGATTGAGCGCGATTGAGACCGTCAGGCCACGCCACTACCCTTTCGTTTAGCAAGTGGGTACGTCCCATCCGCCCTCGCGGTGGTGTGTCAGACAGATTTGTCGAGCCCCGACCCGCGGGGGGTCGGGGAGGCGCATGATCGTTGGTTTGCCCTTGGAACGTAGTGGTTGTCGATGTCTGCGTCGGGTTCTTCGTCCGGAGGTCGAGAGGGCGGCGCCTACAACATCAGAGAGGGCGGAGAGAAGCAGCCGCGCAACACTGTTCGAGTTTCGCCACGCCGGAGGAAGTCAAGCGCCGCTGGTCACATCTCGACGGTACTTCCTCGCAGGGATGCGGGGCATGGCGTCTAATCTTTGTGGTTGACCCGAATGTCTTGTCTTACCTCGTAATCGTCATCATGAGGGTGCAGGCGCGGTTCGTCGGGTGAGATCGGGCGCCACCGGATATCAAGCAGGCGAGATTCGTCATTGACCGTTTGGATGAGGTAAAACCTAGTTTTTACCCGTCGGTGAAGTGAGTCATCCCCGGCCGTCGAGCGGGCCGAGCCCAACCCTCGGGGGTTGAGCGGAGGGGTGCAAGATCCCCGGGGGTCGGGTGAAGCCGAGCCCGGCCGTCGGCTGTGGTGAGTCGCGCCTCCGACCATCTAAGGCGAAGTGAGTCGTCCCCTGGTCGAGCGAGCCGAGCCCGGCCCTCGGGGTTGGGTGAAGCCGAGCCCCACTGCGTCGGGCGGCGTGAGTCGCCCTCCGGCCGTCAGGCGAGGTAGAGCGGGTCCCAAGGGCACATGGGCGCTCAGGTAGGGAACAAGACTTTCGTTTGGTCGGGCAAGAGATGTAACCGCGCTTTCGGGAGTACTTACCGTTCGATGGTTCATTGATTCCTCCTTTTTGAGGTACCCCGGTATTAGGTCCCCGACACTTTGCAAAAAGGAGAGACATGGGACATGGCCACTGGCCAGGTGCTTGTTGCTCCTCCAAGCTTTGCCGTTCCTTTTTTGTTATAGGATGATAGTTTCAACATGAATCGTGCTGATAGTTTCACAAGCATATTATTATATAGAGAGTTCCCAGAACACTACCGGTGGATCAGTGGTCGCAAGGTGTGACAGAGAAGAAAGAAACAGCTAGGACAGATTGGAAGAAAAAAAATATATATATATATATATATATATATATATATATATATATATATATATATATATATATATATATAAGACATGAGGAAAGGTATGTTTGTAGGGTTATCACTCAACATGCAAGCTGTCCAGCTAAGTAATGTACTATCACATACAATTAAAATTCACTAGCACATGCAACTGTTATGTCCATGTCAGAAAGATAGGTAAGCATTTTTTTTGTCCACGTCATTATACCACATATCACTAATCCACGATTTCTGTAGCAACACGCGGGGTATGTTTCTAGTAATTTAATATGACACAAGAGCATTGTAAAAACTTTTTCAATAAGCTATCATTAAGTAATGATTAAATAAATGAAAAAAAATGTCGCCAAACCCCTTAGCCCTGTTTGGATACAGGGGTCAGCAAATCGAATTGCGTTTAGGCAGCCCGCGGTTAAAGATCGCCGGCCACCGTAAAAAAAACTACACACAGTTCAGCCACCGGGTAATTTTTTCGCCACTCGCGGCAGGGCAGCCGACAATCGGTTTTTTTGTTTGTTTTTTAACTACACACAGTTCCGAAGACAACCCAGAATCGGATTTTAGGCTCTATACGCGTCCCTTTAAATCTGGTTTGATTCGTTTTTTTTTTAATTCAAAACAGTATTTTTTTCTGCCCGAATTTCTCCCGCGTTCATCCGAATCATCCGATTCCTACCGGCGAACAGGCCTTGACCTGACACAAACAGCGCCCGCAACCAATTCGCCCACGACCCTCCAACCAATAGGGACGCGCCATGTCACGTCAACCCAACCACGTCATCTCTCACCGAAACGTCACCTACAAGTGGGTCCAACTTACTCCCCTGCCCCACGCGCCAGAGACCTATCCACGCCCCCATTCATCATTAATATTATATATATATATATATATCCCCAACGCGCTTCCGCTATACTCCTTCCTCCCGTGTCTCGTCCTCTCTCTCTCTCCTCTTCGATTCCCAATTTGAAGGCTGCCCATCCCTTGCGCCGGTAGGCGGCGGGGGTGAGGATAGAGGGTTACCTGAGGAGGCAGTGATGGCGGCCACGGCTAAGTACAACCGGAGCAACCCGGCGGTGAAGCGGATCCTGCAGGAGGTCAAGGAGATGCAGTCCAACCCCTCACCCGACTTCATGGCCCTCCCCCTCGAGGTCTCAATCTCAACCCCATCGCTCACTTTAATAACGAAATTTGCCCGATCTGACCCTATCCAGGCCTTAATCGAATGTCGATTGATTATTGATTGTTTTTCCTTGTATTGTGGTGTTCGGTGTTTTAGGGTCTCGATAATTTGTTGACCGGTTTGCTTACTTTTTTTTTCTAGATCTGTTAATTCAACTGGTAATATGATCGATTAGCAGTAGGACCTTGCCGTTTAGTAGTTGATTGCGGATCAAGTGGAGTATGTTTTAAATTTCGTCTCCGAAGGAACGGAATATTTTTGGCAAGAAAGCTCAGTATGCCAATTTTCGATTGACACTGATAAGCTTCAACATACATTCATTTGAGTAGGAGGACATCTTCGAGTGGCAATTTGCTATCCTTGGCCCGAGAGACAGCGAGTTTGAGGGTGGAATCTATCATGGCAGGATCCAGCTACCCTCGGATTATCCATTCAAGCCACCGTCCTTCATGCTACTTACGGTATGTAGTATCTGTGTTCTAATTGTCCACTGTTATCTCACTACAGTGGTTGTGAGCTGTTGCTAACTTCACTATGTGCTGCAGCCAAGTGGACGCTTTGAGATTCAGAAGAAGATTTGTTTGAGCATATCCAATTACCACCCGGAGCACTGGCAGCCTTCATGGAGTGGTGAGTAACCTTTCTTTTGTTTATAAATGACTGCTGAATTGCTCTGTCAGGTTTGCTAAAGGACCCCTCTAATAAGTTGAAAGGCACCATTATTATTCATGGTCCACTTTTATATGGTTTTGTGGGCTATACGAGCATGGTGCAAAATAAATTTCTTTTTCTTTTGGTCTTTGGATTTCCATCAGGCAAGTACTTGCCTTATGGCTAGGCCAAAAGTAAATATGTTTCTTCATTCTTAGGATGAATATATGAATAGTACTGTAGTTGGGTGCTAGGGTTGGTTTGCTTCTGAGAGTATGGAATTTTGTAGTGCTTTTTCGGTGGGCAGTTTTCAGTGCCATTAGGTCGTTTCTTGAGAGGCATCAGGTGTGTATATGTGCAACACTGTAGTTCATATTAGTCTTCCATTGTCTTGCTTTTCTTCGCTCATGCATGCTTTGAACTCCCTTCAATTATAGCAATACATAGCAGTGATTTAATACTCTTTCATATATTGGCACCATTTTTTTCATAGTGCACATACATATGTTATGTACACTATACGAGCATGGTGCAAAAGAAAATGGTTCTTTGGTTCTTAAGGAATTGTCCTGCGGCAGTATTTATCTGTTTGGCCAGACCAAAGGAGGAACATATGCTTTCTATGTATGTTATGTTTACTTTTAGTTGGGAACTATTAAGGGCTTGTTTGCTTCACACCCTGCTAGGCAACAATCCTGGCCCTGGCCCCGCCTGAAATCGGATGCCTGGGGTTGATGCCTGCACCGGGCAGCTTTGTCTGGGAGCCAAGCAAACAGCCCCTACTGCATGTTGGAGTATGCTGTACATTCACTAAAAGCACTCAATGTTTTTGACATTTGGTTTTCAACTCAACAATTTATCGATAACAGTTTTTTTTAGTTTATTTGCATTTCAGTTGGAATGGTTTTTCCTTGTTCCAGTTGCTATAATTTGGACATAGGCGAAATAGTTAATTTGATATTTATTAATTTCGTATGCTTCTTCGTAAATGAGCTTGGTGCTGTATTTGCATATCATCAGATGGTGACTATTATGGAATACATTTGGTTATCCAATGTGGAATGGTTTGTTTTCGTGATTTTGTGTTAAACAGAAGTTTTAACTTTTAAGTGCTAAATTAAACAAGTCTTGTTGCAGTCCGCACAGCGTTGGTAGCCTTGATTGCGTTCATGCCAACGAACCCTGGTGGGGCATTGGGCTCGCTGGATTACAAAAAGGAAGATAGACGAGCACTTGCTATAAAATCACGTGAAGCGCCGCCAAAATTTGGCTCCTCAGAGCGTCAGAAACTAATTGATGAGGTAATTCCTAGTCGAACCTCAGGCTCAAAAATGTGTCATTTCTCTATCTTTTAACGATGTACTGTTTCTACCACAGATCCATGAGCAAATGCTCAGAAAGGCTCCTCCTGTCCCCCAAGCGCTACCAAATGTGCCAAATGAGGAGTCTGACCAATTACCTGCACCTGACTCTTCTGAGCATGCAGACAAGGTAGATGAAGGTGACAACACATCTGGGTCAATGTCAGGCTCGTTGAGTGGCCATCCTGTGCCAAAATCTGAATTGCCAGTTGCAGAAAACACTGGTGAAACCTCAGCAGTTGAAGTTGCCAACCATCATGTGCCTGAAGCGAGCCGTAGAGAAAACATTCCAAGAGTTCCTTCGTCTCTAAAGAATCCTGCTGTTGCGATCCAGAAGCCAAAGCATGACAGGCTGTTGACCTTGACCGCATTTGGGCTGACTCTTGCTATTATGGCACTTGTGATCAAGAAGTTCTTAAAAATCAATGGCTTGGGCGGTTTCATTGAGGGCAAGTTCTGAGTAGGGATTGTGCATAAATTGGATGTAAGAGATGACTCGTTCCTCGTACTGAGCATATGCTATAAGCTATATAACCCCGTAAGATTTGTAAATGGCTGTTGTTTAGTTATAATAGATGAAATCAAAATGGGATGGTACTATTAATACCCCACTGTATGTAGTACACTTGATGGAGAATTGCTGAGTTTTGAAGCATCTGATCTGATGTATATGTTTGCTACAGCATGCACTCTGTTTGGCTGCCATTAAGACCACAATCCTCAATTCCCAATCTCCCTCTGGAGGGTTTTGTTGATTAAGAATTTCATGAAACTTGGTGTTGCAGAACTTGAGTTGGCACTCGGAACAAAAAGATGGTGAATAGCATGGTTTTCCAAACCTAGCTGATTTCTTCTGTGTTTCTCTCTTTTAGGGCCCCTTAGGAACGCTTTAAACTTTCAATTTTTTTGTGTTTTTCCTGTAAAAATGAACTGATCTCTATAAAATTCTTGTACTATTCATGTGAAATTCATGCATTCCAAATAGAGCCTTAAAAAAAATAGTTATCACTGTTACCTGTTGACCTAAATCGGAAGACAACGGTAGTGTAAAAAAGGAAGACATCCCTGTGATAAAACATGCCATTCGCATTCCCAATCGGAATTTTTCTTTTAATAAACATAGTTATCACTGTTGCCTGTTGACCTAAAACGGAAGACATCGGTCGTGTAAAAAAGGAAGACATCCCTGTGATAAAACATGCCATTCGCATTTCCCAAACGAAAGACATCCCTGTTATCGATGGAGCACATAGGCGGGGAAAGACATCCCTGTTCGTTTCATCTTGAGATGGGACTTGTTGAAGAGGGTAGAGGGGGATTTTGACTTGTAGGGGCTTGAATCCCACTCAATCCCCTTGGTTTTAAGATCAAACGAACAGGCCTGGATACTGTTAATAAATTCCAATGTCCATCGCCAAGAATGGATATCCTAATCGTAGATCTTGTTTCTTTTACAATCTTTGACGCCTCTGGATGTAGAATATTATGTAGCCAGGCTCTTTCATACTGTTAATTTAATTCCAATGTCCATCGCCAAGGATGGATATCCTAACCGTAGATCTTGTTTTTTACAATCTTTGACGCCTCTGGATGTAGAATATTATGTAGCCAAGCTAATAGAAACACCGCAGTGGAAACTCAGTTCCAACAGACACTGATACAATAAACAAAAATGTTTTGGAGTTCTAGCACACTTCATGACTAACTGGAAGCTGGAAGTGGTTGAAGGGCCTTGAGGGGATTCATGATTACTCCATCAATAAGGCCATACTCCTTTGCTTCTTTCGCGCTCATAAAGTAGTCACGGTCAGTATCTACATTGATCTTATCCAGGGGCTGCCCAGTGTGGTATGCAAGGTATCCATTTAAGTTAGCCTTGTGGTGCAGCATCTCATTAGCCTGAAGAAAATAATCAGAAACTTGAGGATCAGCAACTGCTGGTGTAAATAACAATTGTAATTCTTACTCGGTTGAAATTGGCTTGTAAATAACTTGAGGAGTTCATTGGCTTGTAACAATGCAGTATATAGAGATAAAAAACAATATGCAATATATAACAACCGTAAGATGAGCTGAGTATGAAAATCAGAAAATAAGGATCGTTGTTGAGAAGAAATGAGAACTGAGAATATCTTTGGTTAAGATGTTGTACTGGTCTAGAAAAAGCATGACATTTTCCTTAGTCCCACATTGCGAGTTTACCTGAATCTCAAGATCAGTCTCCTGTCCTTGGGCCCCTCCAAGAGGTTGATGGATCATTATCCTCGAGTTTGGTAAGCTGTATCGCTTTCCTGCATTATATTTTCACCAATTTTATGACTTCTATAACGAAGCTTGGATATGTAAGCTACACCTACATGTAGTATTTTATTAGCAATCAATACTGTTACCTTTGGTCCCAGCACTAAGTAGAAAAGCTCCCATACTGCCAAAAGGAAACATCAAACAGCAGAAAGAGTGTAAGAATCTCCAGGTAATAAAAGATAACATTGCATGAGGCATGACATAATTTGGAGTTAAACAATAATAAGAAATGGTCACATAATCTCAATAATAAATAATAAACATGGTCACACCAACAAACCGTAAAACTGAAACACAAATTAGATCTCTAACATTCTATATTTAATTATCTATCGCTAGTTACACTAAAATATTAAATACTAAAAGCAGGAATACTCGACCTGCGGGGGGTTATGACGGCCCCCGGGTTTTCCTTTTAAGAAGAGGATCTTCTCACACAGATCGAAAAAACCCCCGAACCCCCGCCCCCATCCTGGCACAGCGGTATCCGTTGCCTTGTGAGAACCGGGCCGGGCCATAACTGCGCTTTGGCACATGGGGACGGGCGAGGGGATTTTTTTAACCTCAGCCTGAAATTCGCTCCCACGGGGAGTCGAACTCAGGACCTGAGGAGTGCCGCTGGGTCACCTAACCGTTTGAGCTAGGCGCCCTTTGGCAAAAAAAAAAAAAGCAGGGATACATAATGCTTATTTTGTGAAAGCATACTTCATTCCTACCTTTTATTCATAGCAGAACTACATGTACCAAAATTAGAATGGAAATCAGATTACTAGACATTTCTGTGCAGATAATTGAGCATGCTTGCTTGATACAAAAGGTGAATCTGCTGAATAGTAACCTCAACACAGGGCAAGTATGCAAAATAAAAGCACATCGCTGCTTTTGCATCTGGAGTTGACAATTGTGCAATTTGAGAACTCATCTACTTAACTGAAGATATGGTACTATGGTAGTTTAAAAAAACTCACGTCATGCAAGTGTTGTCTGCGAACAAGAACTATACTAGCACAACCAAGGCCATACATTCTAGTTACTACGATCCCAAATCCCAGACTAAGCAGGTTAATATGAACTGAGCATTCCAATTACTGCAACTGCAAACACAAAGGATCAATTGTGCTTCCCACATCGAGAACAGAATGAACTACATAGGGAAAATAAACCCAGACTGAAATAATCAAACATGAAGATGAAGATCATGTAACATGCAAAGCACTGAATCAATTGATGATCGTTCAGCAGAATTTGTGTTCAGTACCTTGCAGCTAGTCCGATACAAACAGTGGATACATCAGGCCTGATGTGCTTCATTGTATCAAATATAGCCATTCCTAACAGAAAACGAAAATGCATTAGTATTTAATTGAAGCAGCTAACGCAAACATACTATGTTAGATGAGCTATTACCAGCTGTCACTGACCCTCCTGGTGAATTCACATACATAATTATATCCTACAGGAAAATTGACAAGAATCAGCACTAGATGGAAGTAAGAAACCATGTTTGAATATATAATTGTCATGCAGTTGAGTCCCTAGCTAGATGAAATGGCAACATTGGCTAAACCTGCAAGTTCAGTGGTCACAATTGTATAACCCAATTGCGCACCACAGAAAGTTAAAGAAGCACTATACGAAGTTTAGTACTACAATGGTGGTTCACTGTCTGGCATCAACAAACAAAGGTTCATTTAAAGCACAAGCATGCTCTATTCACACGGGAATTACAGCAGCAAACAGTTTTCCCCTTCGTTTTCACCTTAGTGGTATCAATAGCGTCGAGGTAAAGCAGCTGTGCTACAATGATGTTGGCCATATCATCCTCAACAGGGCCACCGCAACGGATAATCCTCTGCACAGAGACCGATATATAGTCACACAAACCTCACAATACAATCCAGTAAAACCCATCCAGTAAGAAGACCAAACACTTGTACAAAATACAGTGCCATTGTACGTGCTGGAAAAGCTGACTGGCGACGCTCTGGAACCGCTCCATCACCATGGGTGATGGCCCACGCTCCTGCCCCGCTGCGGACTCCACTGGGAAGTAGGGCGATCTCGGCACCACCAAGTCATCCCTAACACAGGCACAAACAACATCAGAAACCCCGTGGCACCTAACGAAGCCCATTTCAGGCAGACAGCACGAAGCTCGAAGGGCTCAAGACAAATTCCACCTGATCGACCAAATCCCGCGCCGCGGAGCAGCCCCGTAAGGCACCGCGCCTCCGGCTACAGCGGCAGTCACGGCACGAGCGCACCTCCTGCTCCTTCAAGACGCGGATGGAAAGTTAGGGCCGGCAGAGAGGACGGGAAGAGGAAGGCGAATGAAGAGGACAGAAACCTGAGGAGTTGGAGAGATCTGGGAGCGGGGTTGGTATTGGGGTTCGGGCGGAGGAGAGGAGTGGTCAGCGAGGAGGAAGAGGTTGCGGTGGCGGTCGCCATGGACGGGAGTCGGAGCTCGCGTGGGGTTTTGGGCGGAAGGGGGCTTCGGTTTGTTAGCCCTCGCCTCTTATCCGCGAGGCGAGAAGAGTGTTAACTTGGTAATAAGAGAAGAAATGGTCCCGGAGTCACTGGGGAAAGTAAAAGCGTGGGTTTAGAGGTGGGCTTTTGGGTTTCGGCCTCGTCCGCACTTGGAGGAAGCGTTAGCAAGGGCCTGCTGTTTTTTTGGAATGGGCCTGTTGTTCCTTAAGAGAAGAAATGGTCTCGAACGGCATGCTAATTTTTTTTAGGAACAACAGGCCCTTTTCAGGCATGCCATATTTTTTTTTTGGAGAAATTAGCATGCCATTTTTTAAGGAAACGTTAGCAAGGGCCTGTTGTTCCTTAAAAAAAACAATGGCCAGTTTTTTTTGAATGAGCTAAGGCTAATTACTAGCTCCGTTTTAAATTATAAGACGTTTTAACTTTTCTAGATTCATAGCTTTTGTTATGCACCTAGATATATATGTTATATCTAGATACATAGCAAATACCATGAATCTGAAAATACCAAAGCATCTTATAATTTGGGACAGAAGAAGTGCTAGTTAGACTAAAAATTAGCTCAAATTAGTCATAGTTGGCTAACTAATTGGCTAACAATCAGTTGAAGATTTATTTAAAAAATTAATCCACCTATTAGCCCTTTTGTTTGGATGAACTAGAGCTATTTTAGGTTATTTCTTAGCTAGCTAGTGATTAGGTTACTTCTGTGTGGTTCTCATGCTGGATTAAGTCCACTTTTAGCCCCTAAATTATTGGGTTCGTCTAATTTTGATCCTCAAGTACAAAACTGTCTAATGCTGGTACCCCAACTGTCAAAACCGTTCACTTTTAGCATCTGGACGCAGGCAGGACTGTTTTGTCCAACGTGAAGCGGGTTTGATCACGCCACGCTGGCGTTGACCACCACATAGGACGTCGGCATCCATCTCAGTGACATGTGGGGCCCACATGTCAACCACTCATCCCCTCCCTCTCCTTCGTCTAGCTCCAGCAACATCCGGACAGGCGAGCTCGACCCCACTGTGGCCGGGGGAGGTCCGCCCCATCGGCGAACGAGGTGGACGAAGCGTGCGTGGCGGCTTCGGAGGGGGTCGCGCGGCCCTACGGTACCGGTGGTAGCAGCCTTGGCGGCCTGGCGTGGCCCGGCCACGCGCAGGTCTGTGGCAGCGGCGACGCTGTTGCGTTTCGACGAGGCGGCGGCTACATCTGGCTAAGCAAGGGGGCGAAGACGGACTACGGCTCGCCGGTGTTCCGAGGAAGGCTCTAGTTGGCTCGGAGGCGAGCGGATGAAAGGTCCTAATATGGCTAGAGGGGGGTGAATAGCCTATTTAAAAATCTATAAATCAACTAGAGCAATTTGATTAGTATGACAAATAGCGAAATACAAACTTGCTCTAGCTCTACAAGGGTTGCAAGCCACCTATCCAATAATTCTAGTTGCAATGATTACTAGGCACACAACTTGCAATGTTACTACTCACTAAGAGCTCTCAAATATGCTACTCTAAAGAGCTCCACTAGATGAACTTAAACTAACAAAGCAAGCTCTCAATTCTAAATACACTAAAGAGCTTGTCACAACTAGTTTGCAAGAATATAAATGAGTGAGTTGGATGATTATACCGTCGTGTAGAGGAGTGAACCAATCACAATATGAATACTAAATCAATCACCAGGAGAATTCCAAAGGGCAAGAGACAACCTATTTTTCTCCCGAGGTTCACGTGCTTGCCGGCACGCTAGTCCCCGTTGTGTCGACCAACACTTGGTGCTTCGGCGGCTAAGAGGTGTTGCACAAACCTCATTCACACGATTGGACACCGCAAGAACCTACCCACAAGTGAGGTAACTCAATGACACGAGCAATCCACTAGAGTTACCTTTCGTTGTTCCGTCGGGGAAGGTACAAATCCCCTCACAATCATCGAAGATGGCCACGAACAATCACCAACTCGTGCCAATCCTCCACCGCTGCACCAAGCCGTCTAGGTGGTGACAACCACCAAGAGCAACAAGCGAAATCCATAGCAAAACACGAATACCAAGTGCCTCTAGATGCAATCACTCAAGCAATGCACTTGGATTCTCTTCCAATCTCACAAAGATGATGAATCAATGATGGAGATGAGTGGGAGGGCTTTGGCTAAGCTCATAAGGTTGCTATGTCAATGCAAATGGCCAAGAGAATGAGCTTGAACCGGTCATGGGGCTTAAATAGAAGCCCCCACGAAATAGAGCCGTTGTGCTCCTCTCTGCACCGAACATGGGCCAACCGGACGCTCCGGTCATATTGACTGGACGCTGGACCTCAGCGTCCGGTTGTGCGATGTGCACCACGTGTCATCGGCTTCAAGCGCCGATCGCCCGATTTCAACGGTCAAGTGATGACCAGACGCATCAGTTAGAAAGTGACCGGATGCTGGAGCTCAGCGTCCGGTCGTTTCTAGTAAGGTTCCAAACGCGATATTTCACGCACCCTACCAGCGTCCGGTCACTTTTATCGCCAGCGTCCGGTCGAAGACCGAAACACGCGCCCCCTGCTGCCACTGACCGGACGCTCTGGTCCAACCGAGACCAGCGTTCGGTCACATACAGTGACCTTCGTCTTCTCTGTCTAGGGCGCCAGTGAAGTTTCCTACCCTTGCTCAAAATGTGCTAACCACCAAGTGTATCACCTTGTGCACATGTGTTAGCATACTTTCACAAATATTTTCAAGGGTGTTAGCACTCCACTAGATCCTAAATGCATATGCAATGAGTTAGAGCATCTAGTGGCACTTTGATAACCGTATTTCAATACGAGTTTCACCTCTCTTAATAGTACGGCTATCGATCCTAAATGTGATCACACTCGCTAAGTGTCTTGATCACTAAAACAAAATGGCTCCTACTACCTTTGCCTTGAGCCTTTTGTTTTTCTCTTTCTTCTTTTCCAAGTTTAAGCATTTGATCATCACCATACCACCACCATCATCATGATCTTCACCATTGCTTCATCACTTGTAGTAGTGCTACCTATCTCATAACCACTTTGATAAACTGGGTTAGCACTTAAGATTTCATCAATTAACCAAAACCAAACTAGAGCTGTAACACCCCGGTGTTATGCCTACATTTAGGCACTGTAAATCACGCATATCATGCATCATCAAGCATCCAAATCATACATGCTTAATCATGTGAATAATAATTGAAACATTGCCTAGAAACATCTGAAACATGCGTGAAACCTGAATGTTGCATACACCTGTTTAAGAATTGTTTTGCCCTAAATTTTTCTTGCTAGGTTAGTAAAACATGTTTGGCTACTATTGTAAATCATCTAGCAATGTTTAGTTCAATTTTTGGAGTAATGTTTGTATTCAAACTAATTCAAAATTTGGCTTCAAAAATAAATTCCAAAAATTAGGGTTTTGAGCTAAACGTGGACTTTGATCTTACAATTCAAAATCTAGAAAGAATTTGGCTGTGGTCCTAAAAGAAAAGTTGTAGAGAATTAAATTCTAAGCAACTTTCATTTTTGGTACATTTTCAAAGGAGGTCATTTTCTTGCTCAAAATAATATTTGAAAGATGGCATTTAAAAATTCTTTGAAAATATATTTGGAAAAAAGGATTTTCTCCTTCGTGGGCCGCCGCCCTCCGGCCCGCCTCACTGCAAAGGCCGGCCCATAAGTTCTCCCCAGACGCGCGTCGCCGCCTCGCCTCGGCCTGCCCAGTAGCGCGCCGCTTAGCCAGCGCTTTGCCGCCACACCCCACCAGCCACGCACATGGTCCCGGGACTGCAGGAGAAGCGTCCCGCCGTGTGGTGGGGTGGCTATTGCCGTCGACGCCGCCGCGCATCGCAGCCGGCCTACGCCCGCGCCCACGCACCCGCCTTCACCTGCCGCAGCCAGTGCGCTCACTCACTCCCGCCCGCGCTGCCTTCCCTCTCCTCCAGAGCCGAAAGCCCAAGCTCCGCCCCTCGCCGCGCGTTTGCACCCGCCGGCGAAATTCATCGCGAATCCTCCACCTCGGCCGGAATCGCGCGCCAGCAGCTCCGCCCGCCCTCCTTCAAGTCATGCTCGCGCTATGCGCCGCCCGAGCTCAGTTGAGCCTCCCGAGCCAGCCACGATCGACGACCATGGCGCGCGCTGTGTTTCGGCCGCCATGGAAGTCACCTCTCTCTCTTCTCCGGCCCCGCTTAGCGCCCCCCTATCGATTCGCCACCTTCTCGCAGCATCCGTGCGCGCGCCGCCGCCATCCTGCCATGGTGGAGATGGTGGCCTGGCCTCGTGGCCGAAGCCGCGCGGCCAGATGCCAGTAAGAAGCACGGCGAGGCCCTCTGCCTCGCCCGCCCCCAGTTTAAGAAGGCCGAGCCGAGCCAGTGGTACGACGACACGGGCCGTCTTCTTCCCTCCCTTATGCTGGGTCACAGAGGTTTAAACGGCCGTGGGCAGCTGATTTCAATGGGCTGGCCCGATGTGATAGGATAAATGGTTTCAATTTATTCTTTATTATTTGAAATTTGAAATGGTTTGAAAAATGTTTGGGTACTCAAAGTTGCTCCAAATTTGTTGAAACAAATTTTGCTAGGTTCCTTATCAGTAGGTCTACTTGGGAAAATTATTGCATGTTATTTTAGAGATACTTTGTTGTAGAGTTTTATTTAATCATGAATATCGCTGATAACTTAAAAAATATGTAGAAAAATATATAGGCTTCAGAAAAATATGGTTCCAAGTTTGTTAATCTTCTTATGTCATGTACTTCCTAGGAAAAATAGGTTTCATGCATGTGCTGTGGGAAAATTTTGAAGTGTAGTTCAAGTGCCTTTAATGGCTAATTTTTGTTATTTTTGTTAGAGAGCAAACTTTGTATAAAACATGCATGTGATAAATTTTGTACAGTCATTGTATGCTATGAAGAACATAGGAAAAATACTAATTCTGTTGTTTGACACTTTTCACAGTACAAAGT